ATTAAGAATAAGCATGAGATTCTTGAGATTGGATGTGGTTGGGGAGGTTTAGCCATTGAGGTAGTCAAACAAACAGGATGCAGATACACTGGCATCACTCTATCACAGGAGCAACTAACATATGCAGAAATGAAAGTAAAGGAAGCTGGACTTCAGGTATCTTTCAGACAAATAACTTGAGAAAACACAATAAATGTTCAATTGAATTGGAAATCATTTGAAATTAAATATCCTGGAGCAAATCACATCATATCATATAGAAGCTCAATGTATTTTACTACCAGGACCACATTAGATTTCAACTCTGTGACTATCGCCAATTGCCCAAAACTCAGAAATATGACAGAATTATATCATGGTAAGTTCTTTGACCACCTTCTTTATATCTAGCAACATTAGATGCCAAAAATTTTTGAAAATTCCCATTTTTGCATTTCCAGTGAGATGATAGAAGCTGTTGGTCATGAATACATGGAGGAGTTTTTTGGTTGCTGTGACTCAGCATTAGCAGAAGATGGGCTTCTCGTTCTACAGGTAATAACAAATTGATAAGAAACAGAATAATGATTGCTTCTGTATCGATTGTAATGATAGAATTTGATGCACTGAGCCTGATTTTCAGTGTTTTGCCAGAATAATTTGTAGTCTAATCTGTTGCAGCCTTTCAGGTCCACTATATTGCTAATACAAGTGTTATTTAACTTTTTTATAGTTCACATCGATACCGGACGAACGTTATGACCAGTACAGACTAAGTTCAGATTTTATCAAGGAATATATTTTTCCTGGTTGTTGCATACCTTCATTAAGTAAGGTAACATCTGCTATGGCTGCTGCATCAAGACTGAGGTAAATGAGCCACTTCTTACTTTCATTCTGACCGTGGTTGGTATTAGCCCAAATATATTTTATGGTTAATTTTCTATTATATTTCTTTATCTACAAAACTAAGAGAAGTTAAATCATGCAGTGTTGAGAATGTGGAAAACATAGGAATCCATTTCTACCAAACTCTGAGATATTGGAGAAAGAATTTCTTGGAGAATCAGAGGTATTTGTCTCCATAAATTATTTTTGCATCATGATTCATGAGTCCTGTTGTATGTATCACACAGTCCACATGTTTAAAACATCAAAATCCCAGGTTTGTCTTAGCTTCATTAACAATGAGTTCTTATAATTTGCAATGATCGATGCATTCACACACAAAGGCATGAAACTTGAACTTGAGATATCAAGGACCTTAAACAATGATTTTACTACTAGACAAAGGCCGCATTGGGATAACAAGATCAATTTATTTTTACTTTCTTTTGGCCAGTATTATAATATGTTCAATATCAAAATACCACCTTGAAATCTAACCAACACAGCTTCACTTGTAGCAACTTCTCTAAAGTTTAATTTGTTCAATCAGCGAGGATATGTGTATGTATATCATGTATATATTTATATAGATTTTTAAGGTGTTCTCTCAATTATTATTCTTACAGAAGGTGACCACAATTTACCTGATTGCTTAGGTGAAAATGTTGTTTCATAATTTGATCTTGGGACATTACTTTGTTTTCTTAGTGAAATTCATGCACTGGGATTTGATGAGAAGTTCGTTCGGACATGGGAATATTATTTCGATTACTGCGCAGCTGGTTTCAAGTCATTGACTCTTGGAAATTATCAGGTAAATGTCTAGAGTTACTATCTATTTGCTGCTTTGCTCACTTTACTTCCTGTTAACTGTTTGAAATGAGAAAACGGTCTTCTGAGGGGTCGGCAAAGTTGCTTCATTTGCATCCAAGTGATAAATCAGTTTCTAAAATGCTCAAGAAAAAATCAAACAAGCTACATAAAAGTAGGAGATGAAGTTTGGATACTGAACTTCATAAAGATCATATGAAATTCAACGGATGGATATCATCTTCAAAACAAAATCGTGTCCAATTCAAACAAGCTACATATATAAGAGTAGGAGATGAACTTCGTATACTGAAGTGAATTTGAATCTGTTTAAAGGAATATGTAAGAAAGTGATATCTAATTCACTTATGCTAAAGAAAACTCCTAATTACAGATTGCTTTCTCTATGCAAACATGTTTAGATCTTATTGCAATGACTTCCCATGTTTCAGGTTGTATTTTCACGCCCGGGGAATGTGGCTGCGCTCCAAAATCCACACTGAAGTTTCCTTCCTGCCAATTGATAGTAAATCAGTTTCTACAATGCA